TTCGGATTGGCCGATCTTGGGGTTGGGCTCCCCTTTCACGGACGGATAGGAAATCTGGGGGTAAGGATCGGAAACGGAGCTGGGATGATTCTTGTTCAGTGGCGCGGTATTCGGCGTGGTACGAGGAGTGCAGCGATTTCGTGGCACAGTGTTCGGCGCAGTACGGGGAACGCGTTAGCTCCCAGGCGCGGTAGTTGGCGCGGCGTGGGCGATGTGCTCCGCGAAGTTCAGCACGTGTTCGAATACCCGCGTGGATTCTCCGAGATACCTCGAAAAATCTTTTGTTGTTAGGATTAAAAAATGGGCGCAAGCGCCGATTTATGACGGCGAGATCTATTTGCTGATCTTATCAGTTTAAACTTGGGCGACAAGATCATATAGAGATTTTGTTTTTAAATGGAAACCATAATATCTCATTATATATTTTTGTAGCTGATCTCACGAGTTCTGCAAAACATTAAAATAAACTTTTTCAGTAACTACTTTCTGAGTTATAAGGCTTGAATTTGATACGCAATTTAATACAAAATATAAAATATCTCGCAAACTATTCATCTTTTGGCAACTATATCAAATACTTTTATTACGTCCAGCAAACTACACGATTCTTCTCTTTCGGCGAACGGCTACTCATCGGTAAATAATAATGCCTCAAACAATTTACAAAAGAATTCCTTGTTTATCACTAAATTATCGACAAAAGCCGGATTGCGATACCCTCAGAGCTTATCTTCAAAAATAAACCGCGAAACTTGATACACAGCGTACACAGCGGAACTTCTTTTTAAATATATTTCGAAAGCAAACTATTCCAAACAACAAATACTTTAAAGATAAGAGTTCTGCTGGGCGATCCAAAATATTATAACACATATATTATAACACAAATATTATAATACATCCTATTAATAAAATCGAACTTGCTGACGCGCGAGAAACGCGGAGGTGACCAAGATTGTTTGAGGCCGACACCCCCAAAATCGGAGTATAACTAAGAAAACGCCAACCAGAAATTTGCGATTAGCGGCTGTTGATGGACACATCAATGAACAAATTCAGGGTGAAACGATGGATAAAATTTTTAAAAATTTAGCCCATCATTTGTCGGAAAAACTAAAAACATAAAAAATCAATCACGATCCACGAAACGCCGCTTCCCTCCTTTCCTTACACTCGTGATTTTTCCGAACTCTGATTTGAAAATTAACATAAAGGTCCATCACGCCCCTACAAGGCCCTATATAAACCGCGATTCCGAGAAGATCATTCTCTTACTTTTATTTTTCGAGGACTCCATCGCCTTGAGTCGTCGGCAAGTTTCTGATAGTTAGAGTCAGTATGCGATTTTAAAATTACATGTGAAGTTACAAGCTTAGGACCGCCTTGACTACCGTGCCGACACTTTAACACATCTCTCGATAGCAATTCTTCTCAGCTACTATAACAGTAAGTCGAATTTTTTTATCTTTCCGTCATCCGGTTATAACGTGCTCCGCCTCCGGCCCCCTTACGAAATCGCAAAACTCCGTTTCTTAGTTCCCCTCAGCTCCTAATTATCACTCTATAAATTTCATTTTCTTTCTTTTTCTCTCTCCTTCCTGGCATTTATCCATAGGCTCGCCCTTTGGATACGTAGACGCTGAGGAAATCGGTGCATTTGTCCATAGATCCGCCTTTGGATATATGGACGTCGAGAAGATCGGTGCATTCTCTCTCTCTCTCTCTCCTGCTGCTTGTGTCCATGAGTTCGTCCTTGAAATATGCGGCCGTCAAAAGTCACTCAGTGTATTATCCTTTCCTCCTATTTATAATGTTCCGACCCAGATTACCGGCTCTTCCCGGGCAGAAGCGAACGAAGAGAGGCTTGAAACATCTAAGGTGTAAACTAAACAAACAGCTTCGACGCGCACTCGCCGCTGGATCATTCACGGAAGTGGACATCACCGCTCAGCATCTTGCGGCCCTATATTTCCGATCAATAGCCGTTCACAGAACTAAATTACCCCGTTTCCTCCGCGGAAAACGAACAAACTTCCTCGATCCCTTTTTTCCTCGGTCGAACAACAATCCTTTCTCAATGATTCCGAGCTTGAAATATTTTCCCGTCTAATACAATAATTCCTTCGATCACCTTCCGTCGAGAACATTTTGTTTAGGAACAACCGCGAACAGAGACATCAAGCTCGCCGCTTATGCGAAGATTCTGAGGAAAGACGTAATTCCTTTGTTTCTCCCTTCTGATTCTCCTCTCGTACCTCATTCTTGTGCACTACTTCTATTAAGTTATCCTCTTCCACATATCATGAAATTTATCGAACAATTCCATCCAAAAAGAACCGAATAAACATAAAATATATAACATATAATACCGGGCAAGATCCTATACAACAATCTATTACACAAAATTAGTATTAGAATCAATTTCCCCGTGAATTCCTGCCCGATGACTTCCGAATTAATGTAAATCGCGACACACACACACACACACACACACACACACACACACACACACACACACACAA